AGGAGGAAGAGGAGGAAGAGGAGGAGGAGGAGGAGGAGGAGGAGGAGAAGGGGGAGGACCGAGGACGAGGACGAGGACGAGGACGAGGACGAAGACGAGGAGGACGAGCAGGACGAGGCGGAAAAGGAGAAGAAGGAAGAGGAGGAGGAAGAAGGAAGGGGGATGGAAGATGGCGGATGGAGGTTTGAGCATGGAGGCTGGAGGATGGAGGCTGGAGGCTGGAGACTGGAGGCTGGAGGATGGAGGATGAAGGCTGAAGGCTGAAGGCTGGAGGCTGGACGATGGAGGATACAGGATGGAGGATGGAGGATGAGGATGGACGAGAAGAAAGGAAATGACTGACGCAACGGCCATTCAGCCAATGTCGACCTAACGTTGGCACAGAGAGGGAAGGAGGCCGCCTCCTTCCCTGCGCCCCGCCGGCGCCCCCCCACCGGCTGCAGTCCAAGCGGCTGGCCTGCGCGCAGCTGGCCGAGGTGCGGTTGGACGGCGAGGCCCGGCGGCCGGCAGGAGGGGGGGGGGGGGCTCGAGGGAACATCCCGGGGGGCCTTGGTGAAGGAAGGGAGCGCGAGGGACGATTTCGGGGGGCCTTGGTAAAGGAAGGGGACTGGAGAGACGATATCGCAGGGCCTTGGCAAAGGGAGGGGACTCGAGGGTTGGGGGGGTCTTGGTAGAGGGAGGGGGCTCGAGGGAGGATGTCGGGAAGGGAGCAGGGGTCGGGTAGCATATCATGATTATCGTGTATTCAGTCGTCCTTTGTGGCTCAGAGGAGAGGTGGCAGGTACAAATCCCCAGTGCCAGCTCTGAAAGCTGGCTCTTTGCACCCAGAATTTGCACTACAGTATGAAAACAGCGATTCCTAACAGCCCATCTTGTTGAGTTGAGGGAAGATGTCGGGGGGTCTTGTCGATGCCAACCTTGGTCATGGTACATGCTGGCCGTCGCCGATTTGCAGGGGTGATGCACGAATGGACGATACCCAGGATGGATCCTCTTTTGGCCACGCGCAGATGGGGGTAGGGGGAAAGGGGAATGCTTCTTAGAAGGGGGGCTGCATCTTAGAAGGCGCGGAGGAGGAGGCGGAGGCGGAGGAGGCGGAGGAGGTGGAGGAGGAGAAGCCCCGCGCCGTCCAAGAAGCAACCCCCCTCTGAGAAGCATGCCCCCCTCCCCCTCCCCCCCTTCTGAGCGTGGCCGAGATACTGGTACTGACACTGCCATGTTCGGTCTTGGCCATGCTCCTCGTCTTGACTTACTTCCGAGGAGGGAGGAGCCAGTCCCTTCTCCTCCTCCTCCTCCTCCGCAGGCGATGGGGGGGGAGGGCGTAGGGGAGGGGAGCGGAGGGGAGGGCGGAGAGGATGAAAGGAGGAGGAGCAGGAGGAGGGGTCCACGCAACGCAACATATGATCAATGCGTCGTTGCGTCACGTTTCGTCGCGCTGTGTGTTCATCTCATTGCCTCCTCCTCCTTCTCTCTCTCCTCCTCATCATCATCATAATCATCAGCATCATCATCAGCATTAGCATCAACATCAGCATCATCATCAACATCAGCATCAGCGTCAGCATGAGCATCAGCAGCATCATCAACAGCATCACCATCCTCTCGTCATCAAGCCTATCGTCGTCCGGTAGAGCAACGTCTTTAATGACTACACAAAGTGCGATCGTATCGAGCATTATGAGGTCGACTAGCGTTGACGTCACTTGCCTCTTCTCCGTCAATTTTACGAAGCAGGAGCAGAGTAAGGGTTCTGATTCAGACGCCCCTCCTAGGACGCAGGATCATGATGCCCAGAACTGTCAAGAAATAGCTGGGGAAACCTCTGGCGGACAGTCTGCGTCGACGTGATGGGTCCATTCACCAGATAGGGTGACTCCCTCGCCCCCGTCCTCCCTCTCCCTCTCTCCGTCCCGATTCCCCCCCCTCCTTGCCGCAGCCGCCGCTCGCCGTCGCCGCCGTCGTCGCTGCCCTCGCCGTCGCGTTTGCCGTCGTCGACTTCGCCAGTCGCCGTCGCTTCCGCCCCTGACATCCGCCGATCTGATGTCTTCCGACACGCGGACCCCGCCCCCGAGGCCTAGCGTTGCGCCCCCGCTCCGTTCTTCACGGCCCCCATGGGCCCGAGAGCGGGCCCTCCGGAGGGCCCGACCTCAAAAGACCTCGGGGGTCCGCGGCCGCTTTGGGACGACCCGAGCAGCCCCGGGATCGTCCTCGACGGGGCGCGGCCGCGGAACAGCACCCCGAGGCTGGAAAACCTCGGGCAGCCGACGAAGACGTCCGAAAGCCATAGGCGAAGCACGACGACGACGACGACGACGTTGACGACGTCGACGACGACGACGACGACGGGCGCGGTCGCCGCAAGTCGGGGTCCGCCGTCCGCGCGGCGCAGGTCCCCGTGTGGCTCCGCCCCGGCGGCGGCCCGCTCAGCGACCAAGCGGGCGACGGCGAGCCGCACGGCGAGCACGCCGCGGCGGGCCGGGGCGGCGGCTGCGGCGAGGGCGCGGGCGCGGTGCTCGCGGTGGCCGCCATAGGCCGGCTCCGCGGGCCGACGCGCGGCGAGGATCGGCCGCGCGCAGGAGTGACCCTCTGCTGGGGGGGGCCTCTGGTGCTGGCCCGCGGGGGCCCCCCCAGCACTGGCCCGCGCGCGCGGGGCTGCCTCTCCCGGTGGAGCGGACCCGCAGGGGTCCCTCCCGCACTGGCCTGCGCGTTCGAGTGTGCCCCTTCGTGGATCGCGCCACATGTTTTCAAGATGTGCGTTCACTAGAGCTTCCGTGCGCTTCCAAGTCTTCTCACATGCGCCACAAGCCCGAAAAATGCGGGTGAGGAAGGCTTGATTCGGGGAATCCTGCTTGCAGCGGTGTCCCCGAGCTGTTTTCCTACAGCCACCTGAAGCGTCGCACCAGAGGTCACTCTTGCCTAGGGTCACTCTTGCGTGTGGCCGAGATGACGGCGTCGGCGGCGGCGAAGACGGCGGCTGCGGCTGCGGCGACGGCGGCGACGGCGGCGAGGGTCAGGGGAGGATACTTATACTGTGACCTGTCCACCGTCGCCACGGCTGGATTCGCCTCAAAGGCCAGGTCAGAACGCATACAGGAAGAGGCCCAGGGAGCAGCGGTTTCGGTACCTTTTTTGGGTGCTCCCCAGTGTGGCCGCCATTCGGAGGCCAGAGGGCGCGCGCAGGGAAACGCACAGCAATCAGGCACGTCAGTGGAAAAACAGGAAACGGCGTAGACCATTCTTGGCGTCGGCGGCCAGGCAGAGGAGGCGTCCGCGCTGGCCACGGATCAGGCCTGAACGGGGATGCCGTCAGAGCGAGGTGTGCCACCATGCAGGAGGAGGAGGAGGAGGAGGAGGAGGAGAGGAGGAGGAGGAGGAGGAGAAAGGGGGAGGGGGCACAGGGGAGGAGGAGGAGGAGGGATGAGGAGGAGGAGGAGGAGCGGGGAGCGGGGGGAGGGCGCGGCCGAAGGAGCCGAAGCGGCATCAGCATGATGGGTCGGAGCTCCGCGCTGATCTCTTGGGTCGGCGCTGGGCCCCCCCCCCCGTGGCGGGGGCCTCCTGCGCCGACCCTGGCGCTCTTCCGCGCGCCAGGGGAGGCGGGGCAGCGATCCAAGATACTCCAGATTTCGTAATAGAGGGAGGGGGGTCTCATTTCGGGGGGGGGGTCTCTTCCAGGCTATCTTGGAGGGCCTGGGGGGGTCAGGGGACGATGTTTTGGGGGGTTCTCCCACGGGGGGGGTCTGAAATGGCTTGGCTTGGAGGGTCCAGACCCCTTCCCTTTTATTACGAAGTCTGGAGTATCCGCGGGGACAGCCGAGAAAGTATGGCTATGCTTAGGTCGGGCCCGTACCTCTACAGGGGGAATATATTCAAAACTAGTGGAACAATTGCCTGGGGACGATGTTGATAGTAATGTTTTTTTGGTCGTTTTGGGGCATGTTTCTGCTATTTTTTGTGGTTCGTCCAAAATCCCCCTGTAGGAGGACAGGCCCGACTCAAGGCTATGCCTCTTTGGTCCTTCAGCCAAGTAGGAGCCGATTTGCTAGCAGGTGGGCCTGCGGAAACGTCCCATCTCCCAGTGGCCGTTTGGACCCACAGACGTGGGACGCCCCAGCAAGTCGAGAGATCGGCACCAGGTGCCAGATGTCTGATCGCAAGAGGAAGTAGTGTTGCATGCACGGTGTGGAGTAAAGGCCGCCAAGGTGGGGCCAGAGTAGCTGGGGTCGGAGAAGCGCGCCGCCACGGACATGCATCGCCGATGCGGTGCGATCAGGAGCCCCATCTTCCCTACCCCGACGTCGCCGAGGCATCTGCGATGCGGTGCGATCATCCGCTCCCGCTGCTGTGGCCCCATTTTGGCGGCCTCCGCGGCGGCCCCCCAGATCCCCGCACCAGGGGCCAGCCTTCCCTCGGGCCACTCGCGCGCGTAGCCGCTTGGGGACTTCCTCCGCGGTCTGCTCTTCCTCGCCTCCCTCGTTGCGTCGGCTCCTCTCCGCAGCCGTGCCGCGCCACGAGAGCCCCCTGCGCGACCGCCGGCGCGGACGGCGGCGGCCATGGCCGCGCCAGGCGCCAGGGCGCGTTCCTCCTCCTCCTCCTCCTCCTCCTCCTCCTCCTCCTCCTCCTCCTCGTCCTCCTCCTCCTCATGCTCCCTTCCACCTCCTCCCCCTCCTCCTCCTGCTCCTCCTCATCCTCCTTCTCCTCGTCCTCCTCCTTGTGCTCCCTTCCACTTCGTCTACCACCTCCTCCTCCTCCTCCTCTTCCCCTCTTCCACTTCCACCTCCTCCTCGTTGCTCTTCCACTGCCACCTCTTCCCCCCTTTCCTCCTCCTCCTCCTCCTCCTCCTCCTCCTCGTCCCTCCTCCTCGACAGAACCAACGCGGACAGAGGCCTCTGGCTGCATATGCCGCTCGCGCCACCGCGTGGACGGCGCCAAGAAGCCGCTTACGCCACCGCGTGGCCAGATGGCCAGAGGCGGGTGGCGCCTCCACGAACGACAAGGCGACGAGCCGCGCGCTCCGTGGGCTCCCGGGGCGTGCTGCCCAAGGCACGCGCCACTCGGCTTGGACACACGGACACACGCACACGCACACGCACACGCACACGCACACACACACCACACACACACACGCACACACACACACAAACACACACACACACCCACACGCACACGCACACGCACACGCGCACACGCGCACGCGCACGCGCACGCGCACGCGCACCCGCAGGCGCACGCGCACGCGCACGCGCACGCGCACGCGCACGCGCACGCGCCAACACACACACACACACACACACACACACACACACACACACGTTCCCCCCCCCACACACGCACCCACGCACCCACGACCTCACGCACCCACGCACCTACGCACCCACGCACCCACGCACGCCCGCACGCCCGCACGCACGCCCGCACGCGCGCACGCACGCCCGCACGCACGCCTGCCAGCACGCACACGCACACACACGCACACGCACACGCACACGCACACGCACACGCACACGCACACGCACACGCACACGCACACGCACACGCACACGCACACGCACACGCACACGCACACGCACACGCACACGCACACGCACACGCACACGCACACGCACGCACGCACGCACGCACACGCACACACACACACACACACACACATACACACGCACACGCACACGCACACGCACACGCACACGCACACACGCACACGCACACGCACACGTCACACACGCAGCGCACGCACGCACGCCGCACGCACACGCACGACATGCACGCACGCACGCACGCCCCGCCCGCCCGCGCCGCCCGCCGCTCCCGCCGCCCGCCCGCCCTCCCGCCCGCCCGTCCCGCCCGCCCCCGCAAACACGCACACACGCACGCACTTACGCACGCACGCACGCACGCGCGCGCGCGCCCGCCCGCCCGCCCGCCCGCTCGCCCGCCAGCACGCACGCACGCACGCACGCACGAACGCACACACACACACACACTCACACACGCACACTTTACTGCGCTGGCGATGGGGCGTTGGTGGGTCGTACGAAACGCGGATCAAGCCACCATGCAGGAGGAGGAGGGAGGAGGCGCCCGGCGACGGCGGAGTACACACACACACACACACACATACACACATATACACACACCACGACCCAGCACTTGCTGACTAACTGGAAAAGGTGAGCAACGTGGTGCAACTGGCCAGATAGCGCAACTCGCACATCGGCCATATCAGCATGGGCAAGCATCATAGGGGGCTCGTGGGAGGGGGAGGCGGCACTTGCAGCTAATATGGAGCCAATCACGATCGGCCATGCTCGATCCTGTTCGGGCGGCCCAAACCGCCCACTTAGAGATACCAAGGGACTTCGAACGCTTGGAGTCACAGTGCGGAGCAGGGATACTGACACTCAGGGCCATCAACTGGGCCCAGCCGTCGGTGAGATCATTGCCAACCTTCTCGAGACGAGTGGAGAGGCCAGCCTGCACACGCGCCTCCGTGCAATGTCCTTTGACCTTGCGCACATGCACGTGGTCGATACCCCCCCAGTCCTATACCCGCTCCTACACCAACACCCCGATCTCCGCTTGTGCACTAGAGGCGGCACAGCACGCTTCACGACCGCGCACATGCAGGCCGTCAGCCACATACAAATAATCACTGCAAAGCACTGTGCCCGGGGTGGCCTGCTGCAACCCTCGAAGAAGTTCGAACAAGTCTGCTGCAACCCTTCGAATAAGTACTGCACAGGGAGCACACCGACAAAGGCAGAGAGCGTTCAGTACAGGCACTCCGGAGCAACAGCAACACTTGCCCACGCGATGGCCTGCGCATGGATCGGGAGGTCCTGGTCGTACTAGCACCCGTCTAGGACGACGTGTCCTGAGCACTGCTGAGCCTCCTCTGAACCAGCGATCAGGAAGGGAGGAACACGAGAGGAGAGATGCATCAGGCACCAGCAGCCGCTCAGCAAAGAGAAGCGGAAGAGGCGAGGTGCAGAAACGAACCAGAATGGTGAGAAGTTCAGGGGGGTCGCCACATCGCAGCTCGTCCAGGCCTGGGCAGACTGCGTGCCAGTGAAGCAGGGCCCCAGGGGGCATCCAAAAAGAGCTTGCATTCGGCCGGTCCTCCTCGTCTTCCTCCTCCTCCTCCTCCTCCTCCTCCTGCAGTCCTGCTCCGCCTCCCTCCCCTCCTCCCCTCTTCTCCCCTCCCTTCTTTCTCCAGGAGAACCCCCCTTCTTCCTCCTCCTCCTCCTCCTCCTCCTCCTCCTCCTCCTCCTCCTCCTCCTCCTCCCCCTCCTCGCCCTCCCCTCCTCGCGTCGCCTACGGCCCCGGGGGAAACCGTCCAGGGGGGGGGAAGTGCCTCCTCATCCTCGTCCTCCTCATCCTCTTTCTCATCCTCCCCCGGGGTCAGGGGACTCCAAGCGTTTTGACGTTCGGTGGGCTCCAAAAACCCTGGGGGCCCGAGCAGGAGGGCGCGTGAGGGCTCCTCCTCCCCCTCCTCATCCTCCTCCT